CTGGGAACAGAAGTGGTGGGAAAGTGGCGGGTGGAAAGGGAGAGGTAGAAGCAAATGCTAAAGGCCCCTTAGCTCTGCTGGTAAATATGTGTGCAGAACCAGCCCAGAGCACCAAGCTCTTCTCAAGCCTCTAGAGCTTTGCTACAAAGCAGACAACAATGAAGCACGACCGCTCCGCGTGCCTCGTCTTTGACAGTACGAACAGAATGGCAAAACGAGAACGAGAAATTATGAAACTAAGCAATTTTCATTGGTATAAATATGGAGACATATGTATCACTAGATTTTTATACACACATGTACATGTGGGTTTCCGATATCACTTCCTTTTAAAAATATGTTTAAAACCCACACAGATTAAACAAAACTTAACACTGATTGCAAGAAAGTTGGAAGAAGCCTCATTTAGGAGGCTACAAAACTACAAGAACTGAGACTTCGTGAGACAGGGGACATCCTCACTTGTGCACAATATTAAAACAGCAACTTTATTCAGGAATACAGAATATATTTTTGAAGATTTCCAGTTTACAAAAGTTTAAGACAAGGTTGGGTTTCAACATAAAACCTCCCTTAAAGCTCTTATGTAAGAACTCAGTTTCGAGTTGACAAAACCCCTCACATCAGAAAAAGAAAAGGACAAACGAAGGCCACAGTCCTGTACTGGGATACATTCAGGCAGAATACAGCACAGTATTGAAATTCTTTCTGCAGTCACATATTTTAGTCCATGACTTCAATATAGCCTTACGTGAATAAAAAATATTTCAGATCTATTTTCAAAACTGCAAGAAGGGCACTCGTCTTAACCGTTTTAGTTCCAGGCATTATATGCAAATTAGCTCCCAATGAACAACAGTCAAAACCAGTACTTGCCAGCTGATCACCACGTTAAAAATACAGCATTAAATTCTTCCTTCATTTATACAATTTTAAATATTCATTAAAAATTAAATTCAGAATCAGTGTCCCTCTATCCTTTTCATCATTAATAGTTTTTCTTATCTACTAAAACCATTTGTCTTTCCTAAGATGTCTAAAAAGTAAAGCGCACAAGATTAACAAGCTGCAGCATTAATTAAAATGAGAATCATCATCTCTTTCCTCCACCCAGCCTCTAAATCTATCACAAGGGCCCTATTAGCTGTTTCAAAGTGAAGTGGTGTAAATAAAACTGATTTGACTTAAAAGGAGAGGAAGAACGAATGCAGTTATTTAAAAATTGCACTGCAGCCAGTGTTGTCGTGTACGTCACTGTAGACAGGAGCCGAGAAAATGATTCACAGGCTCTCCTTTAAAAGCATTACTGCCAGTTTTCCATTAGCACAACACCAAAGAGGTAAATTGTAATTTGCCTCACAAGGAACTTCAGTTTATTATCAAGAGGATTCACCAATGGCCTAATTTTAAATACACAGCACACTGACTTCAGCAGAAGTTGGACGCTCAAAACTCCTAACATTTATTTATCTGTTTATTTTGAAACAACCCAAATCTTAATTCCTAAAGGCTAATCCACATACCGTCATTTACCTCAAGTAGTCATTTCCTCAAATTGTTTTGTTGGAAGCAAATATATTAATACCGGTGCTGAGGACAACTACTCATCAGAGTGGTCAACATTCAATAGAGATGTGGAATCAGAATTTGGCTCTGGAGGAAAACTTGGACTGGTTTTACTTTTGTAAGAATAAATCTTTGAAATAACGCTCATTTATGTAATTATTAAGTATAAAGGAAAGTTCCTGGAGCACTAACCTCAAACTAAAAGGCTAAGAGCAACTGCAAACACCAGAATGATCAATTCCAATTTTACTGGCTACTGAAAAGAAATCCTACCACATGGTATTTCAGGAACATTTAACTTCAGCCTTACAAGCTGCAGGATTTTCAATGAAATATTTAATTTCATCAGTGCAGTTGTTGCTACCACGCTTTCCCAAAGATTCCACTGAATAATGCAGTATGATGCTATATTAACACTACTAAAAGTGACACATTATAAACAGTTTCTGTGTGATACCACAGCAATTTCCAAAGAAACCAGCTAGCAAATCTGTTCTACAAACCGGAATACTGAAGCAAGATGAAAACCCTCCTGAAAATTTTAGCATGGAACAAGATACTGAACTTCTGTGCTCCTCAAAGTTCAGTGGTCCCCACAAGTAACAACGAAGAGGAAGACAAGACTTGTTTCTCCTTTTGGATCTCTACACCCAGAAATGTAGTTAACAGCTTCCCAAATCAACATTCAATCAGAAAGGCACAATCTCCTTTTGTAATTCGTGTCCTCAAAAACTAAGATTCCTATACAAAGATAAATACACCCTTAGCTGGAAGGGAAAATGTCACACCATTTAGAATGTTTTTTCCTTTTTTTTTTTTTTTTCAAAGTCCAAATGGATTCTCTTAATGCAAAAGTTACATGAATATATACAACCTGAAAGAGTATATATTTTTTATATATATATATATATGTACATATATGACAGTGACTGACACAGAAGGCAGAAGAAGCAGGCTATGTCCACTCTTTTCCTACTTCTCAGCAACGCAAGGCAACGTTTTTCAGATGTCACAGGCAAACAATATTTGGTTTTCACACATTCTGGTGTCTTGGAATACACGTGGTGAAATGCAGTCTCTCACGGAAGGCTTGCGTAAGGGATACGTGCCATGTAAGTTACACTGGACACAACGATTTAGCTTCAGTAATACAGCCTTAGGCAACTTTAAAATTAAAAAAACGTCTAATTCTAACGAAACTACTGCAAACTCTTCAATAGCATGTTTTAAAATCCAATATTATGTTTTAAAAACTGCAACAGAAAAACGTCAAGGCTAATTCTGATATAGCATTACACAGCTCTCTTAGAGGCTGAGCAGAACCTTAACGAAAGGCAAGAGGGACAGCAGGTCCCACTGCTCCCAGGAGACACCCCTGCACCCACCTTTACTACTAACTCAGCTATGTACCTGAGTTTAATCTACCTGTAAAATAAAGAATAACTGTCTGCTCTGTGACAACTATGAAGTCACAGTCATTAATTATCAAGTCCTGCTTTGTGAAGGACAGCACAATTACATTGCTTGAGCTCCCAGCAGAGACGAAACCTGACCCAATATTGTGCATTGCTTTAGAAGGACCCAGGAGTGTCTTCACCAATGCACTTCAAGACAGGTTGCCTAAGCCAAAGGCTGCCATTCATCTGATTCTGAAGTCAGACAAGCCCATCAGGATTAGAATTCTCCAGTGCTCCCCATCATGTAAGCTCAGTGGTGGAATGACCTGTGCTTGAAAATCCACGTGGTCCCTGCCTCTTACATTGCATGGCCGTAGACTCCAGAGCTGGAAGTGGGAAAAAAAACCCCAACAACCTAAAAAATGCAAGTGTATGTGTGAGAACTGAGGCTGAACTTGAGCTGCTTCTCTATTGATTCTCAAACTCAAAAACTCTTGAGTTCTGAGTGTATAACCTTTGTGTGAAAGAAGTTACCTCAGAAAGATAGAACATAAGAAAGCAGGTGTGTTTAGTCAGCTTCCTTCGTTTCCATTAAACAGCAAAGTCTATTTAATGACACTGTTCATTACATGGAAAAAGGAGTGGGAAACGTGTCTGACAAACATAAATAATTTTTCAAGGCCCATTGTGCTCTGGACAAGAGTAAGCCACTGCATTGTCTTTTATATACTGAGCACAAGCACAGCACTGCAGTGGCATTTGAATTCCCAGCTTACCTTCTCCCTTGCCACTCTGAATACCTTTACCTTTGAGATGCTTTCACACCACTGATTCAACAGTGTCTAGGGAACCACAGAAGACCACTCCAAGAGTCAGGACAACAGAGACACAAATAATTCTGGTTTTCTTCAGAAGCCAGAAGGTAGAATTTCAACCAAACGAACATAAACAATGGCAAAGTCCATAAAAAACAGTAAGAACACCATAGTGAAAATTTGACATTTTAGAGTGCTGCTGGTGCAGAAGAACTAAACCAATGCAATACACAACTTACATACACATTTAGTGTCACATTTACTGATTCACACTAAAGCTTTCTGTGATGGGTGTTTGCCTCAGGCTGGTTTTGGTGTTCAAGATTTAGCTAAAAAGTTTTGGCTTTTTTTCTTTTTTTTTTTTGTTTGCTTTGTTGTTTGGTTGTGGTTGAGTTTTTTTAAGGAGGAACACACAGAGTAATGTTGCTTCATCGCTCTCGAAAAGAAGTCTTACACTGGTTTGTTGAGAAGTTTCAGTGCCTCTATACTCCAGCCTTGAAGTCTGACAGATAGGCCAACATTTATGGTGTTCCTGTGAAAATCCATGCAAATTTGGCCTAGATATTAGCATATGGGAAAAAAAACCCTGATTCACTCAGTTAGAGTTGTTGCATCCTCGCAAGCTTAAACTTTGAAAATTATATTCACAGTGAGAATGTTCCAGGCCATGAAGAGAAGGGTCAAATAGGATATTTTCTGCAATTTGGGTACTGCCCATGGGCTGGCATTGGGCACCAGACCTCCAAGCAGAAAGACTGACTCTCATGTGCTTCAGTGATCACCAGTTGGCACCAGGCAGTAAGAAGAAACAGCTCACATGTGGACAGGACAGGAAGCAGTCTGAAAACAAGAATCCTTCTGGCATAGCTTTTTGTGTGCAACATCTGTATATATAATACATACACATATATACATTCATATACAGTACACAGTCCAAGAAATACATCACATCAGTTCTTTGACACAGCACTGATGTTTCTCTTAATAGTCCAAACCTGAACTTGCTTGCAGAAATACTGTGGAGAGCTGATGTGACTCTAGGTTTAGCTCTCACAGCTCTGTCTTTGAGGAACCCAAAACGCTGAAATATTAACTTAATGTGGATTCAAATCAAGTCATCACTCAGTCACACGTTCCCCTGAAACCTATCAGCCACAGCAGATTAACCCATACAGACTTGAAAAGGCAAACGCCTTCCTGCCCTTCCCAAACACTGGAGTAGTTACACTTCTCTTTCAGCAGTGTGGTTGACCAGAGAATCGCTTGGATCTGCTGTCCTCTCGAGAAGAGTTCTGTGGCCATCCATGCTGTCATGGATGTCTCTTGTCCAACTGCTGGCTCTGCCCAGAGCGCTTTCTGCCACATGGGTGTCTGTGCTCACCAAGCTTCCCGTCCGAGATCGGTAAGGAGGAAGATCTGGCTGATTAGGGGATTCAGATTCAGAACAATAAGGTGGTGGAGGAAGGTCAAACCAAGGTGGTCTGCTGAAGATACACAACGTAATAAGAAGTTACTGAAAACAGCGGTATGGAGAAAGTATAGAGTTTTACAATTATGAAAAAAACAAACAGTATTTCTTAGCTCTTCCATGATGACACCTATCAGAAGATCTCAAACAGATCTGTCTACATTATTCAGCTCATTCTGAAACATCCACACCACCACTGGGCACCAAGTCTTCTCATCAAGATGTAACATAGTTAATTACATCCTGCTTAACACTCTACACTCTGATTTTCATGGGTATGCAGTTCCAAAAAATCTCGGCTTACCCTCAAAGATAGCTGCAAGAGGTAAGAACTTTTCCTGTGTAACATTTACACAACCCAAGACAGTGCTTTAAATGAAATAAGGTAAATAGTGGATTTACACTTATAGATAATGATGTGAACACAAGAAAGCTCTGAGGAAACCTCCACTAAGTGACAGAGATTAATGGCTTACGGTCTACACATAAATAACAACCTGAAATCTCCACATGACAAATCACTTTTGCTGTCATGACGTCACATGCAGAGCAACTGCTAAGCAGGCATAGACAAGATGAGTACTGGACTGAGAAAAAGTTTTTTGCTTCTCATAGTGAACGAGTAAAGGGACTGAAGAGTTTAGCAGATTAGCTAAATTAGCTCTGAAATTGTTGATGGTTCATATCAGCCCAGGTGAGAAACGATTACGATCTGGACAGCTGCTCATTTAGTTGTCCTTACTAATGAAGAGATATCATTGTTATGAATGCCAACATTAAGACAAGGGAGCTGCTGCCAAATGCGGCAGACAAGAGGAATATAAATGATTATATCATCATTCTTAGATCCCAGAGTTTGTACTAAAAAGCACTGACAGGGCGAGAGTGAACAATCTGGATCATTAATGTTCATACCATGCCCTTTTTATTTACAAAGGATGTCAGTCTTGGAGTTTTGTTTGGAAAGACTTTACAGAGGTTACAAAGAAGGTTAACTATCTACAAATAAAACCAGTGTCATAATTACAAAAACATTGTAACCCAAACCACACCCACCCACTTTCAGCTATTTAAAATGAGAACACGCTTTCTAGTTCAGAGTCCTGTTCTTTTCTTCTGTTGGTAAAGCAGTGCAGAGCAGAGGGGTTATACAATGTCTTTATGCAAGATTTGAAGACCTCTTACCTTTATATACTTACCACACACGATCAGGGTATTTTTTTTCAAATAGTATGACCTACAACCGACCTGTTTTTTGGCAAAACTCCAAATTCCATTTTCACGTTTTGATTCCAGACTGGCATGATAGCACTATTAGACAAGTGACATATTTCTTTGCATTCTCTTGCCATCCTCAAAATCTCTACTACCAACGACACATGCTAAAAGAGCATGATCTAAATTTGCCTTAAATCCGTTAATACCAGTAACAGTAAGGGGACCTGAGGCATGAATTTCTCATATGCAGGAAGAGCTCAAATTTGCCCAAATTTGGCCCTACACATGTGACAGAACTGCAACACTAACTCTGTCAAAAGCATTAATAAGGATAAGTGAGGAGCAGGAGCACAGATCAACAGAGCTGCAACCAGTAGCGTGAAACTTTGGTGAGCACAGAAGTAGCTCCTGTACATACCTTTGGTCAAGCACAGCCTCTGAATAGGATGGTGGAGAGTCCAGGTCCACTGGCCTGTGGTAGGCTTGGTTGGACACGTACTGGATGCCATTGTTGACGTTGTAGGTGACGCTGCAGTGGTGTGGGTGATCGAGAACCACCAGCCGGGACAGCAGGACAGGGTGCTGCAGGCGATGCACTGGCAGAGTCATGAGATTGTTGCGCTTCCGCTGGTGATGCAGGACCAAGGCAAGGAAGGCCACCACGAGCACGAAAATGACGGAGCTACCGATGATCGCGTAGGTAATGCTAGGGTAGTACAGCAGCTGATTTTCTGACGTCACGTAATCTTGGCCGCTGCCTGCCTCTGCAAGACAAAAGGAAAAGGAAGCCTGAGATTTGTTCCAGAATAAACAGGTTGGTTTGGGCAACCTGGTGTAGTAGAGGGTTTCCCTGCCCATGGCAGGGGGGTTGGAACTAGATGATCTTTGAGGTCCCTTCCAACTCTAACCATTCTATGATTCTATGAATAAAACTGCTCTTAACCTAAGCTGTGCTTTCTGCTAACGCACTGTGTGACAAGAGCAAGTTTTCTTTTTTTTTTCTTTGTGTCCTGGTTTTGGCTGGGACAGAGTT